TATAAAAGGGGTGAGACCCCTCATTGTAATGGATCCAAGTTGAGAAAAAATAAACTCCTACTTTGCATTCTCTCTCTCTAAAACTTATATTATTCTTTATTCTCGGTGGTTTATAGCCATCAAATTGGTGCTTTCATTGAGAGCGAGAGGAACATACTCGTAGGTTAACTCCCGGAAGCGAGAATGGTGCAAACAAGGAGCAACGTCCCTACCACAAGCCACGTCGGCGGCAAAGAGAACGCGCCGGGCAGCGGCAACGGCACGGGAGGCATCGGCTCGACTCCGGACGCGGTCCAGGCGCTGTTCGGCCTGGGGGTGACCACGGAGCAGCTTCAGGCGGCCGTTGCGGCACTTTCCGCCATGGGCGGAAACGTGCCCGGCACCGGAGCTGGAAAAGCTCCGCCCGGTCCCCACGCCGAACACGCTGCCACTTCCCAGCACAAGGGGAAGAAGACCCGGAAGAGTAGAAGGAGGCCCTGCAAGGCCCCGGCGATCGAGGAGGTGATCGTGGAGGACGTCCCGGAAGGAGAAGAGGATGAATCCAGCGAAGGCTGAGTGTCAGCGTTCAGACGCTTGGGAGGCGAAGAAACCCGGGTGTCGGCCTTCGACAGGCTCGACCGCGGACCGGAAGGTCGCCTGGGCGACCTCCGCCGACAAATAACCGAAGGTAGGCGGAGGCATGCTGAGGAGTCTGCAACATCGGATGCTCGCTCGGCGAGGCCCGAGCGGAGCGGAGAGTGGCGGGACGAGCGCACCAGCGTCAACATAGCCCGACGAGAACTGAGAAGACGAAGATCTCTGACCAAGGGGTATCTCGGCTCGCTCGTGAGATTGCCGAGCTCAAGCGCCGAGTGGAGACCAGAGATCCCTACAGCCAACCCATCTTGCGGACGGTGACCCCGTTCACTCCGAGGGTCATGTCGATTCCACTACCGTCAAACTTTCGGCCGTGGCAGATCAAGGCCTACAACGGAACGACGGACCCCCAAGATCATTTGTCTAAGTTCTATGCTTCTATGGAAGCTGCGGCAGCCCCGGACGAGGTCAAGTGCCGATGCTTTCTCGCGACGCTAGAGGGCTCCGCGTGCGATTGGTTCAACCGGCTCCCGAAGGGAACCATTGACGATTGGGATACGCTGGCGGAGAAGTTCTTGACGCATTTCGTGGCCAACCGAAGGTAGAGGCTACCTTACTCCCACCTGCTCAACATATGCATCCGCAAGGGAGAAAAGGTCCGCGACTTCATAGTCCGGTGGGAGAAGGAAGCCAGAGACGTGCACGGGGCGGATGACCAAGCGTTGGTTGCCATGTTCCAAGCAGCCCTTCCCCGCGGAGAGGTGAGGAAGGAGCTCCGCAAGAATCCTCCCCCCACGTACCAAGAGACCTTGGCGCGCGCAAAGTTCATAGCCTCGGAGGAGTTCGACGACGCCCCAGACTCCGAGGCCGCGCCGGCCAAGCGAGCTCCAGCGGACTCGGGAGAGACCGCGAAGAAGAGGAAGAAGAAGAAAGACTATACCGCGGGCCTGAGGACGCTCTCGGCCGGAGTGTACTCCGTGGGCGTCCCCGTGGGGACGGGTCGAGAGCTTGCCCTCTCCCCGCTCCCCCACGTAGAGGCTTACGCGGTGTCCAGCGGAGCCAAGTATTGCGAGTACCATCGTAACAACACTCATAACACTAAGGAATGCTACACTCGTAACCCGAGGGCCGCCTCCGCAAGACGATGCGTCTACCCCCTCCCGGGGGCCGCCGGAAGAAAGAACTTGGAGGAAGCCGACTAAGCCAGTCGCAGTGGCGACGAAGGCAATGAACCCCGAGAAGAGGCACATCGGGCGGGAGTGCGACGATCTAGACGAAGACGAAGCCCAAGGATATCCGGTGGGATTTATCCATGGGGGAAACATTGGCGGGGACTCCGTCGCTCAGAGGAAGAGGTGGAAGCACATGGCCTTTGTCGCCAAGGTCCATCAGGCGCCGGCGCCCAAGCTCGGAAGACGAGAGCAGATCCAATTCACGGAGAAGGATCTTCCGAACACGCCGAGTCCCCACCGGGATGCCTTAGTCGTGAAGATAGAGATCAACGACGCCATAGTACACCGCACCTTGGTGGACACGGGAAGCTCAGTCAACATAATGTATGAGAAAACATTCCAAGACCTCGGTTTGAACCGCAAGGACTTAAGGCCTGTGCGCACTCCTCTCTCCGGATTCACGGGGGACTCCATCGAGGCTGAGGGAGTTATCGCCGTGCTCGTGATAGTAGGGGATGGTGCGCACAAGGCCAAGCTGAAGATGGAGTTTATGGTTGTGAGCATCAACTGTGCGCATAACATGATTCTGGGACGGCCCGGCCTTGAGGACTTGGAATGTGTGATCTCCTCGTACTACTTGTGCATGAAGTTCCCCACTCCGTCCGGGATCGGGGTGGCGAGGGGAGACCAGAAGTTAGCTCGATCGTGCTACGTCCGAATCACGAAGAAGTTACCAAGGGATGAGACGCTGGTCGTGCACGCGCAGGAGGAAATGCGCAAGCTGGAAGCTCGGCCGAAGGTCGAGCCCGCCGAGGAAGTCGAGGAAGTGCCGCTCGACCTGCAGATACCCGAGCGGAAGGTTAAGGTCGGGGCGAGCCTGACGACGAGCCAGCGGAGGCGCTTGGTGGACGTGCTCGCCGCCTACCGCGTGATCTTCGCGTGGGGACCTGGGGATATGCCGGGGGTGGACCCCAAGATCATATGCCACCGGTTGGCAGTCAACCCGGAGTCTAGGCCGGTGAAGCATAAGAAGCGTTTCCTCTCGTCCGAGCGGAGGGAGTTTGTCTCCAAGGAAGTGACCACCCTCCAGAGCATTGGGCATATCAGAGAAGTCAAGTACCCGGAATGGATGGCGAACGTAGTGTTGGCTCCGAAGGGAAACACCTGGAGGATGTGTGTGGACTACACCGACCTAAATAAGGCATGCCCCATGGATCCATTCCCACTCCCGAACATCGACCAGCTGGTGGATGAGACGGCGGGTTGCGAGCTCATGAGTTTCATGGATGCCTTCAGCGGGTACCACCAAATCCGAATGCACCCTGAAGACGAAGAGAAGACGTCTTTCACTACCCCCGGCGGAGTTTATTGTTACAAGGTGATGCCTTTTGGACTCAAGAACGCCGGGGAAACCTACGCTAGGATGGTGAGCAAGCTCTTCGCGCCCGTCCTCGGGAAGAGCATGGAAGCGTACGTCGACGACATGATTGTGAAGAGCAAGCAGGCAACCACCCATGCGGAAGACTTAGAAGGAGTTTTCAAGATTATGGAGAAGTACAACCTTCGGCTGAACCCAAAGAAGTGCACGTTCGGAGTTCAAGGCGGTAAGTTCTTCGGACACATGGTGAGCAGGCGCGGTATCGAGCCCAACCCCGAGAAGGTGCGCGCCATCCTTGACATGGAGGCCCCGCGAAATGTCAAGGAGGTGCAGCGCTTGACCGGAAAGTTAGCGGCGCTCAGCTGCTTCCTCTCCAAAGTGGCGGACCGAGCCGGGAGGAGGTCTTCGACCCTGAGCGTAACGAAGAAGCCCTGGCAGCCGAGCTCCATCTCGTACACGAGAGGCGAGAAGCGGCCTTCATACAGGCAGAGAATTACCGAAGGAAGGTGAAGAGCTACCATGACGGGCGTGTGCGCGCACGGGGGTTCATCGAAGGAGATTGGGTGCTGCGCAAGAGGTCCGTAAGCCGCCCCCTAGAAGGTGGAAAATTTGCAAAGAATTACGAAGGTCCTTACATCATCAAAGAAGTGGTAGGTCCCTCGACGTTCCGCCTGCAGACGCCGAGTGGAGGAGATGTGCCCAGGACTTGGAATGCCGAGAACTTGGTTAAGTTTTATCAATAGATTTCGAATGTACACGGCCCCCAAAATAGGGGATGTAGGTCAAACATTCGTGCTCGGCACGCCTCCTCAGGAGAAGAGCCGAGCGCAGACCATACCCGGATGCTCTTCCCGGATGAAGGTCTAACTTTCCTACTCGGCGCTCCTCCTCAGGGGAAGATCCGAGCGCAGACCATACCCGGACGTTTTTTCCGGATGGAGGTCAAACATTCGTGCTCGGCACTCCCCCTCAAGGGAAGAGCCGAGCGCAGACCATATCCGGATGCTCTTCCCGGATAAAGGTCTAACCTTCGTGCTCGGCACTCCTCCTCAGGGGAAGAGCCGAGCGCAGACCATACCCCGACGTTTTTCCTGGACAGTCAAACATTCGTGCTCGGCACTCCACCTCAGGGGAAGAGCCGAGCGCGAACCTGTGCTCAACACACCCCCTTGGGAGGAGGGCGGAGCGCAACCCTTAAGGCTAATGGCGAAAAAGTGAAAACAAGACTTAATGAAATCCAAATTTTATTCATCCCGGAAAACGGGCAAGTACATGGCACAAACGCCTTACAATAATTAAACACCTTGCAACTAAAGTACGGGTAGACTTCAATGCATGCCACAATTCCACCCCCGCTCACAAGGGCAAGGTGGGGGGTAGGAAGGTGAAGGAGCCCGACTGATGACGGAGTGCCCTGTAGACTCGTCATAGCTGGGCGAGCCTGGGTCTTCAAGGGAGCACCGACTCGGATGGTGGGATGCCACGGAGCTCTCGCTTGGAACCGTTGCGGGAGGAGCTGGAGGGCGGCGACCTTGGCCACTGCAGCCGGCAGGAAACGAGGGAGCGACGACCTCACGACGGACCGGCGGAGCCGACGGAGCCGGCGGAGATGGGGTCCTCTCGTCCTCCTCCGACGAATAGTAGATGAACCCCGGGATCTTGGCAGAAGGATCGGGGTGCACCGACTCGGACTCAGAGTCCGAGTCTCAAAAGTCCCGTAGAGAGGGCGGCGGGGTCGAGCTCGGCCCCAACTCAGTCGGAATGGCAAAAGAGCCCGCGAGGGAGTAGCTGCCGAAGGAGAACGTCTCTCCTCGCATCTCACTGGAATCGGGAGGAATGGGTGCCGAGCGCGGCATGGCAAGATTTGAAGAAATTCAAAGATGAGTGAAAACAAATTGTGAGGACCCCCCCCCCTTATATAGGCATCTTGCCAAAGGGGGGAAGGTACACGTGGCAGCACGGGGACGGTCGAACTGGCGGAAGGTCAAAAGGTCCCAGGTCCCAAGGTTGTCTCGGTTAACGAGGGGACAGAAAAGGGACCAAGTCCCAAAGTGACCTCTCTTCGGCATGGCCGAGCTCAGGTCGGATGGGGGATGGGCGAGCACGTAAGTTAACGGAAACGACGAAAGACGGTAAAATTAAAGGCAAGAGGGAAAGCATAATATATCCATACAAAGCAAAAACCCGAATTCAAAAAACAATAAGCTCTGAGCAGCATTACATCAAATACTACAAAGTTTAGTCATATCACTCGGCATTCGGCTGCTCGCCGGCCGTGTCCCCGCGATTCGGGTAGTAGATGGAAGTGTCAAACTCGTCAGGGTTGTCGCATGGTTCGGGGAAGTCTATCCCGGCGAGGAACCTATCGGAGTGGACCTGCTGCGCTCGGAACAGACCAAGGTTGTACCACGACTTCCCTTCGGAGCGAGCAAAGGCTTTCCCCTCGGGAGTCTGCCCCCAGGCCTTGAGTAGATCATCCATGCGGGCGAAGGCCTCATCCTGGAACGCCCCCGAGGATATGAACTCGGCCACGGCCTGATCGCGAGCCTCCTGGCGCGCCTTGCGAGCAGCCTCCTCCGCGAGCTGCTGAGCCCGCTCCTCGGCCTGGCGAGCTTGCTCCTTGGCCGCCTTCAACGCCTCATTGAGGTCGGCTATCTCAACATAAGCCCGGCTCCGGTCATCCTCACTGGCGCGCAGCCGCTGACTCATGTCAACCATGCGCATCATCGCCTGCAAATAACAAAGGGGTGAGCACCACAGATGAATTACATTTGTAAGGTGTGACAAGGGAAACTTACCGAGCCCAGCTCGTGGAAAGTATCCGAGGCCAGAGTCTCCCGGTCGATATCTTTTATCTTGGCGCGATCAGTTGGAGGAGTGAAGCGGCGCAGGAAGGTCTCCGGGTCATAGTCCCGATCTAGGAAGGAGACCCGAGCGGGGAAGGCTGCCTTGACGTATTTAGGATGGCCGAAGTCCTTCATCATGGGGGACTCGGACCCCTGCGGGGCGTCGGCAGCCGAGGCCGTTTCCTTCCTCTTCTTCTTCTGCACCGTCTCGGGTGTCGGCTTCACGGGTGGAGTCGGGGGACGGCCGCCCGAGGTAGGAGCCTTGGAGTTGCCGCTCGGAGCGTCCAGGAACATGAGCTTCACCCGCTCGGCGTTGGAGAGCATGATTTCACCTGCACAAAACCAAAGAAGACAAGTGGTGAGGTGAGAACTTAGCCGCGAAGAGAAGAGGGGAAATCCGAAGCAGTCGCGACCCACGGACGGCCGAGCGTAAGAGATTGCACTGACCTGAGGGGCCTTCTTCGATGCTCCGCTGAGTGTCTTCCGGGGACAAGAAGACGAAGTCGAGCGCCGCCAACGCCTCGTTCGTCACAAGCGAGCCAACTTCGAAGGGGCCCCCACGGGAGAGCGTCTCCACATCCTCGAGCATCTTGTCCGAAGTGACGCACGCGGAATGGCGACGGAAGGAACTGAGGGGCTCTTTACGAAAGGGGGAGCCTGAGGAGATAGAAACGAAGACGAATTTCCCCTTCCAAATCTTGGCGGAGTCCTTCCGCGTCTTGAAGAGCTTCTCTTGCCTTTGCAAGATGGAGGCATACGAGCCCGAGTCGGAGTTCGCCCGGCCAGACGACTTCGCCAACCGGAAGAGCAGCAAGAAGCGGGCCAGATCGGGGCAAACCCCGGTCCTTTGGCATTGAATAAGGAACCCCGCCAAGTATCGATGGGATTTGGGCACGACTTGGCAGGGGAGAAAATCGAAGTGGATGAAAAAATCTTTGACTAACTGATGGAGGGGGAAGCGGAACCCATACTCGAGGGACTTGAGGTGGATGGCGAAGAAACCCGGAGGGGCGTCAAAGACTGACTGCTCGGGGGTGGGACGGCGCACGGTCACACCCAGCGCCGAGGCTAGACGCTTCGCCTTGCGGAACTCCTCCCCGGTAAGGGTGCACTTCCGTGCTCGGATCCCCGAGTCCTCGAGGGTGGTCCGCCTCTGGTTGCGAGGCTCGGACTGAGGAGGGACCTCGACCGCCGCGACTATCTCCTCGACGGAAGCCGAGCGGGAGTCGCTGTCCTGCGCGGAGCCGATGACAGAGCCCTCAGCATCGCGCTCAGACTCGGACTGACGAAAGACTGAGGATTGGGAAGACATGGAAGAACAAGGACGAGGAAGACTAACCTAGTATGGAGCCAGAAAATGGACGAGAACGACGGCGGGAAGGCTAGCGACGGCGAAGAGTCCTACTTTCTCTCTCTAAAAAGTGGAGAATGAAGAGGGTAGGGTTGATATTTATAGAGGAAGGGTTGAATGGGTGCCATGATGGGCCGCCACTTGGCCTAGGGAGGCGAAACGGCGCACCCCTTCATGATGGCGAAGCCCAAACGGCACCAATGGCCTGCCAACTACTCCATGTGGGCCCCCGCGCCGCTTTCCTACAGTACCCATACTCTCTTGTGTTCCATCGCCGATTGCAACGAAACCCGAAGAGTGGGGGGCTTATGATGGAGGACGACTCCAAAAGGCACGTCAGCCGGGCCCCATCAGCCACGTGGAAGATCTTCTCTGCTCGGCCCATGAGCTCGGCTTGCCCTATGGGCTCGGCTCGGCCTGCGAGCTCGGTTGGGGACCGTGATAGCGACCGCCGGATAGCGACCGGCCACGTTGACTGCGCGACAGCGACGGGATGAAAGGGACAACGCATAAGAGAGATGACGTCCGCTAGGCGACAAACCTCGATCAGAGAAACTTTGACTATGTGTATTGTATCCCCTATAAAAGGGGTGAGACCCCTCATTGTAATGGATCCAAGTTGAGAAAAAATAAACTCCTACTTTGCATTCTCTCTCTCTAAAACTTATATTATTCTTTATTCTCGGTGGTTTATAGCCATCAAAGGCTTCATGTGGTGTACGGTTGTGAAGGGTGGTGGTGGGTAGTAAATTAAAAACATGAGTTGCCATATGAAGGGCTTCACCCCAAAATTGAGGTGGGAGATTGGCTTGAAAAAGTAGGGTGCGGACTGTGTTATTTAAGGTGCGGATGGTGCGTTCTGCGCGCCCATTTTGCTGGCTAGTATATGGGCAAGAAAAACGGAAGAGAATACCCAAGGACTCAAAGAAAGTGGCTAGTGGATTATTTCTATATTCTGTGCCATTGTCGCATTGTACAGCTTTAATACTAGTTTGAAATTGATTTTTGACCATTGCATGGAATTTTACAAGATGGGAGTAAGCAACAGATTTGTGACGTAGAGGAAAAATCCATAAATAATGTGAGAAATCATCTAGTAAAATCATATAAAATTTAAATCCAGTAACACTAGGAACAGGCGATTGCCATAAGTCTGTATGCATTAATTGAAATGGAAAAAGAGATACACGACTCGAGGACTGAAAAGGAAGGCGAACATGTTTGCCTAACTGACATGCATGACATAAAGAGTCTAACTGAGATTTATTAAAACTATCAAAAGAAGAAGAGACGCCATGGAGAACTGCGGGGCTTGGGTGACCAAGTCGGCGATGCCA